CATGAAAGAAATTGGCGACTGATAATATCCGATACCGTGCAAGCCCTTCCTTCTTGATGGCCGACAGTTTGCCGTCAGCGGTTCTTTTTCTCCCGAACCCTCCAAACCATAAAAACCATCATCAACTTTATATAAATAGATAATTTTTATTAAAGACCCGTTGGGGTCCCATCAAAGCAAATTAAAATAAATTTACATGCGAGTTTTAGACGAGGTAGGCAGAATCTTTACAAAATGCAATTCATCGTTTCTGAATTAGAAGTCAATTGAGAAACATGATTAGTGAGGGGTAAAAAAACTCCATACAAAAAGTTAAAAATGATTGGAGTAATTTTACAGGAGAAAAAAACCCTCACTAAAAATACTGACAGAAAAAAGCGAGCAGGACTTGCCTGTAGGTGGCGGTATATAACGGATTGTAGTTGGTCATCGTCAGGGCAGCAATAAATCTCAGCCTTGTACGGTTCGTATGCGGGTCAGACAGGACTGGCCTACATGTGCTATTGTATACGGGATTCACAATTGACATCGTATGGGCCGGATTGATACGCCGGATGATACTATTCGCGTCAAAGAGGCCAGACGAGAGGAACCCAGACGCGATAGGCCACAATACGTTTCGAGCCCAGCAGAGGAATGCGGAAGGGAAGTATTACCAAGCTACTAGTAGACAGTGAATACTGAGGGTTCCGCCGTGAGCGTCGACAGACCGCATGCGGTCGGAATGCGGAAGATGACATCAAGAACCGCGAAAATCGTCGCTATGGGGGAGGAGTGGTAGCAGTGGACCTAGTAACCAATTAAAAACAGAGGGCTGTAAAGATAAAATGAAGGTTTCCACTTGATCTACTACAAAATCTCCGGAGGACCCTTTTTGAAGTCAAGAGGCTGAGTGTTTGGGAATGAGACCGTTAACAGTGCCCTTATACTTTCCGGTGGAAGTTGTTTGCGTAATTTCGACTTGAATACCAGTAACTTAGGCGATGACCTAATTTCTGGCGGAAGATTATCCCAAAGGAAGGCATATTAGGAAGCAAAGAAGAGGGAGCGCTTAGATGTAGTGCAAAGAGACGGCGGAATCACCATGGAGGAGTTGTGCGTGGCATAAGACCGATCTCTCGGAGTGAGAGTGTCAATGAGTGAAAGACTGGAGCTAGAGTTGATGCGAAAAAGGAAGCAAAGGCCAGCTTCGAGTCTTCTAACCCACAAAAACTTAATGTTCGCCAGCTGACATCTCTGAGTATAAGAACTACCGGGTGCGACTTGAGAGAACAGTTTCGGGGTGAAAACCCTCTGAACATTTTCGATTTTATTACGGTCGCAGGCGTTCATTAAACCAAAGAAACGACAGCAGTATTGGAGGACTAGAAGAACAAACATTTGATAAAGTCTTAGCTTCATTTCCGGAAGGGAAAAATTATGCGATATGAATCCACATATCTGCGCGGATTTGGCAGAGATTCTATCTGCATGAGGTGATAAAGCAAGCTTATTTGTATAACTTAGAACTAAGTCCTTTATGGTGAGGCATTCTGAGAGTGGGTTGTTCTGAAAAATTATGGGACCAGGAAGTTTAGTAGGACCAAAAGACATGAAACTACACTTGGATGATGAAAACTCCATCTGCCATGTCGAACCCCATCTGCTTAAACGTAGTAAATCGGCATAAATTTTTTCAACACAAACGTTTGCGGTGTCCTTAGAGTATGCGTAAACACACTTGAGGTCATCGGCATAAGTAAAAATTCGCGGATTTCTGAGTTCAGTCGAAATATCATTGATGTACAGAAGGAAGAGTAGCGGACACAGGGCCGAGCCTTGAAGTACGCCACTCGTGTCTAAGTGAGGTGTTGAGTAGTTATTATCAACCAAGACTTTCTGACTACGGTTGGCTAGGTGGGACCCGATTAGGTCTAGTAGAGGAGGTCGGACGCCGAAAGTTTCCAATTTTACCAAAAGACTCTATGGGGCACCCTGTCGAATGCCCTGCAAATATCAAAGTAGATAACTACCACTGACTGCTCCTCATTATGAATGGAAGTGATTAGATTAAGAAAAGCCAAGTGACATGTTTCGCAGGATCGTTTATGTAAAAAGCCATGCTGACTAGAGCTAAGAAGCCGATTAGCTAGACAGAAGTCAAGAATTTCATTGAAAATAATCCTTTCAATAAGATTTGCTAGAGACGGCGTTTTGTGCACGTCCCGGTAGTTACTAACATCGGACCGAGATCCTGACTTGAAGACAGGAATGATAGTTGACGTTTCCCATGTTTCAGGAAAGAATCCTTTTGAAATATAAACAGAGAATAAATAACTAAGCAATATGTATTCCTTTTTGACGGGAAATTTTTTTTCACTACTGCCCGGATTTCTGTTTAACGCTTCTCCGACAATGCATGTAAACTGGCACTAATTAAAATTTTTATTATTATTATCGAAATGCAGAATCTTCATACAAGGATACTTTAAATTCTGAATTATTCGGTGGGATGAAGAGAAATCGGCGATTATATTCAATTATGTTGAAAGCGGACAAGCGGACTATGTGACTTTTTAGCCATGTAACTAGTGACATATGTGAATCAATGTATGCATTCACTTAATGATGTAATTTCTTCACATTTTTGCTTGTTAATCGATTTTTAATGTACAAATAGGGAGTTCAAAGGCGTAAGCCTATTTCCCTCAAATACACTGACTGACTGACTGACTGAAAGTCGACTAGCATTCAAGGATCCACGTGCAGTACTTAGAGATGTCATTCGCTCAGAATTTGTTAACGATGTCGAAAAAGCAGAACGCATGGACAGACTATTTTTTGCCGTATTCGCTAGAAAAATTGAGTTTCAGAACTACAATGACAACAGTCTTGTTGCAAACGTTGGTCCAGTGCTTGAGTCTATACCCTTCCTGCAAACTCCAAGGGACTGAGGTGTGCGGAATATGCGGAGAATCTCGGTCATCGCGTTCGGACAAAAACAGACCAAATTCTCAAAATAATTGGCAAGAGAACTCTTCCAACCACTGAGAGATATCCTCCATTTGCCATATGAACTAAATGGACTGCTATCCGAATGGTAGACGGTAAAAATCCACCCAATAGCTAAGGGTGGAGCTCGAGCCAGTGTCTCGTCAGCCTAAGCATCCTCTTTAAAGTAGTAGAAACCATACTTGCAATGGCCCCAATGGGCTTCCTAGAGGAAAACCACAAGCTCTCAGGTCTACAGAACGGCTTCATACGGTGCAATTCGTCTTCCTAGTTCGTTGCTTTCAGCTGGGCAGTGGATTCATGTAGTGGAAGAGAATATTGGAGCCATCGTCATCTGCCCTGACTTCAGAAATGTTTTCGATAGTGTTACACACAAACGTCCAATTTACAAATTATCTGAAATTGGATTAAATTCAAGCTGCTGATATAGATCGCCGAGTTCCTCACAAGGAATTACAAACCGCATGCATCGGTGCTAGAAAAAAACCCTAGGTTGTGTCTTCCGGTGTCCAGTGTTTGAGCCTTACACTTCCTAGTGTCTATCAAGACTGTATGGTCAACGTTGGTGAAGGCGCCGTCTTGTTTGCTGACAATGTCAAACTCCGCACAATTACTAGGTCCGACGCAGATGGTCACACACTTCTAAAAAGACTCGGCCGGCTTAGCAGTTTGTTATCCATTGGTTGATGTTAATTGTGGTTTTAAGACTCTGTGCAGGCAGAACAAACGAGGATGAACATTCTTCCGGATAACTCCTTAATGGGTTATCCCTTTCATATGCTGAAGAACAGGAGGATCTCGGCGTTCTAACGACCTGATCGACTCAGTCGTCGTCACAGCGTCTAGAAGCTGCTAAACGACGACACAGGAACTTATCGAGCTGAGAGGAGCGTTTGCGCAACTTACTGAGAAAATGTTCAACAAAACATTTGAGGCCTTCCCTCGGTCTCACTTGGGGTGTGTCGTGCAGACCTTAATCAAATGCAGACGAGGGTTACGAAAATGGTGAGGAATCTCGCCCATCTGTCCTAGAAAGCCAGTTCAGTTCAGTTAAGTGGGGTAATAGGCGTAAGCCTTTGAGTACACTACTTGCAACGTAAAAATGCGTGGTATACAGATAAATGTTCTGGTCATACTTAATTTGTTCCTCATGGAGTAAAGACAACTGCGCAGATATCTCACGCAAACTTACCAGACTGTTAGAGGCCGCGAGTGTGCCCTAGATTTCAACGAATTCTTCGAATTGACCGGAAGAACCACCTGCGCGTTCACTCCTTTAAACAGCAGAGGAAGTTAACCCGCACGGAATTCAGATGGGACGCTTTCTCGCAGAGATTTGTTGGAGCCTGGAACAGATGTCCTCATGTAGTAGGGATTTCAGACACTGTAAGGACAGTTAAATGTGCCAAAAGTGACTGACAGTGCCACCACAGAAGAGTCTGTATTTAATAAAATGAAGATTTAGTACTCGTTTGCCGAGAAGCTACTGTACAGGTAATTAAAACCATGGAAATGGTGGCAGCATACGAATGGCTCCCACGTACTGATGAATCCGCGCTTCCCAGGCGCACTGTTATAAGCTTAAAAATACTTAACCTATGTCAACGGTCAACACCTACTTGTCTGGAAACTAGCGCTCTTTCTTGTGCATGTATTGACGTAGTCCTAGTCCTTTTTTATCTGCTGTGTAATAAGTGTTCATTCCAGTGTATTTCAACTTGCTTTTACTGTTTCGCTTTTAGTTTTTGCTACCCCAGTTTTCTACAGATTCCCGTCGGATGCGCAATCGGTCGCTGACGAATTCTAACGCTACTCTTCTTAGTACTTTTCGTAGATCTGCTCGATATACTTCCATTTTCGGTTTGGGTGTAGTCTCTTATGGATAATTTAAGAAATGTGCAGAGTAATAGCCAGCCGGCGGAATAGCCAAAACTTCACGCTTAGCTTGAGACTAAACTTAAATTTTGCGCTTACCGAGGTACGTGTCACTTGCGCGGTCTATAGAAGTGATGTTGCGTTTGGTTGCTTTCCTAGTTGTCTTATGTTCTGCGTTTGTGAGCGGATATTATGTGACAGTTGATGCGAATGGAGAAGAGTGCTATTTTGATAGATTGAAAGCTGGTGCGAAGTTCGTTCTGCACTTCGAAGTATCCGAAGGTGGATTTTATGACATCGACGTCACGGTAGTTTTTGCTCACATGTTTATTCCTGTTACAGATCTCAGGCCCAGACAAAAATGTTCTTTACTCAGTTAACAAAGAATCAAGTGGTCGCTATGCTATGACTGCATCAAAAGATGGAATTTACACATACTGTTTCAGTAATAAGATGAGCACGATGACTCCAAAGGTTGTGTTGTTCGCACTCGAAGTCGAGGACCAACAGCTGCAAAAAGAGGCTGGAGCATCAGGTACTAATCTTTCATGTCACTTTTATCAACAGAGGAACAAAACAAACTCGTGGACATGGTAAATGAGCTTGCCAGTTCTGTAATGTCAGCGAAACATGAAATGGAATACCTTGAAGTGCGCGAAACCCTTCACCGAGCAAGTATGTTTGTACGTTTAGTCTATTCATTTGTCTAGTCAACGAAAATACTAACTCACGCGTCGTCCTTTGGGCTGCTTTCGAGGCTCTCATCATAGTCGGGATGAGCCTAGGTCAAGTGTACTACTTGAAGCGCTTCTTCGAAGTTAGAAGGATGGTTTGAAACATGAAATAGTATAAACACGGCGGGTTTGTCTTTCCTTTTCCCCCGTTTCCCACACCCACACCAGAGAAAGTCAAGATTTTACTTGGGGCTCAATCTTGTACATTATTCCCGTACTGAGTGCTCCTGCACCATCCTGCCTCGGAGTATAAAATGACTTCCGTTGGTATTCCATTACTTTCTTGTTCCACTGTCCTTGTTCATGGTTTTTTTCTTCTGTCATATTGTATGGGGTAGACATCATCACCCTTCCTGGACATTGTACATCTGATTTCTCGTAAATGTCTTTTTATACCAGTGCTATAGTTTAGGACTGTTTTGGTTGTCTTCCCACTTAGGCTGAGCGAGGGTGTGCTGTCTTAGTGTGTCTCATTAGAAGATACTGATGATTGTTGTGTGAATTCGGATTTATAAACGGGCCTGAAGGACAGAACTTCGGTGTATTCCATACATCGTCACACCTGCAAATGAACGCAGCATGAGTATCTAGCCATCTGGTCGTCTTCTTGCGTTCCCAAGTACAATTCCGATGCTGAACTGTGAACTATACGCGTTTGTAATTTTTTCCTTCTCGGACGTTTCTTGTCACAGTTATACTCCCATCACCACTACTTGTCGGCTCAGTCGTCCGTGCCGGCCTTTGTCACTGTCTCTTGAGCTCGGCCTATTATAAGCTTATAAGGTATTTAAGTGCGTACAAAATTCCATCGGTTTTCCGCGATAATACTTCATAATTATAGTGAATCATTGTGCGCTGTCTCAGCTGCTGACGATTGTTCATGCACTCATTGGACCAACGTTGACGCAAGACGGGCTTCAGCGTGGATGCCGTCTTCCCTGAGCGCCTTGTTGGGTAAAGTCAGTTTCGGATCGGTGATTTGTCGCCTTTGATGGACGCAAGCATTCCCTGGCTGGAGGGCGCTGCGGGTTATCGGGCATTCAGCTGCAACACCGAGCTGGTCAGTTATATTGTCAGAATATCAGGTCGGCTGATATTCGCGCCGGTGTTGGAGGTGCGTGGTACTCGCCGGCGAGTTCTAATCAACGGAACCCAGACGGTACTTTGCTGCAAAATTAAGTAACTACTTGAATAGTCACCTCGATCATTTCGGTCACTGGCAGGTCACAGGGGGGATGATTCGTTGATTACTGGTAATCGAAAGCAGCCCACCATAGCACCGTTGTGTCACCGATCGTTCTTCATTATGCACCACGATACCAGTAGGACTGACTCTAAGAGCCAGTGATTTGGCATCCATGCTGTACGACCGCTCTGTTTGTAACAACAAATGCTGGCGTAAAGAACCACTGCTGTCCATAGCCTGTGGTCATCGGTTGGGCTCTCGGCAGTCGCCCGGCCACTGCGGAGTACTAACTGTCACAACGGCTGCAGGTCTGACTTCGCCAGTCTTAGGTGTATTCTTCGGTGGGTCGCAGTAGCGGTGCCAACTTGGACGGGGACTGAAATTGAATTATTCCAAATGTGCCAAAACACCTATTAATTACGTGAGCCTGGTAGTTATCTGATGGATTCTAGGTGGATTGCTTAGGATATCCTGCTTGGGCAGTCAGCTTACTGTATTAGACTTGGTGGATTCCAGATGTTGCAGTAGGTTGGGCGGGTAACTTGATCCAGATGTGAATTAACTCGCGTCTCCCGGCAGGGCCTCGTGACTCAGGTGGCTAGACCGTACTAGGCGGTACTAAAACCTTCCACTGCTGACCTGGGTTTCAATTCCACCGAGGCACCGAGTTTTTCACAGTTCGGTGAAAATGAGTTATTCAAAATCTGCCAAAATGCCTATCTTCCTCGAATTAGTAGAACACGGCCAAGTTCCATGGCCGTGGATTAGAAAGGCTTTGACCATAGCCTCTTATGGTCGGATTTTTGTTGTCAGCCGGATCTCATGACGAGAAGACAAGTACTTTCGGGGTCGATGGGTTATGTACGTCGCGAGTTGTGTGCGCCAACTCACCTGATTGGCTGGTCGACGGCACAGAGGAACATATGTAGAAAAAGTACGACCTCGAGCCTTGTGCTCATGAATTTCGGGAACATCATCAGCCGCCCTGATAGGGTGGTTCTGCTGCGTGAATCGAGCACGGGTAATCAAGGAAACCGTGATTTTCTTCCGAAAACAATGTCTTCTTCCTGGGATTCGTCTTAAGTTGAATATCCGTTTAACAGACAGTCACGATATGAACTTTCTTGGTTCGTCTTGATGTGTATCCCTGAAGGACCAGAAACAGGCCAGGATGATACTTGCGACGATCCTGAGGATGTTGCCTAGGGTGTCCGTTATGTGTCGGGCAGGGGGATTTGTTTCATACCGTCTTGTTTTAAAGATTAACAGGTACAGCTTTCAGGTAAATAGAAACAGGAACACGTACCATAAAGTACTAGTACAACGTCATATCTCTTTTACCTTATTTTGACTGAGGCGTTAACACTAATGTTTATTATAGAAATCATGGAAAACTTTATGCAAAAAAGCATTTTCTGTAAGCGTTGCTTTTTCGTTTTTGTCTACGCGAGTGCCATTGAAGGTCCTCATTTGAGGAAGCTTATGATAAGCATCCTCTCTTTGAGGGAAGGTTCAGGAAATAATTTAAACGCTTTAGAAGTGCCGATTTTGGCACAGAAAATAAGGAACGCTCAGGACGGCCGGAAAAATTTGAGGATGAAGAATTGGAAATGTTAATCGGTCACGATCTATGTTAAACGCTCGAAATGTCAGGAGTACTAAGATTTGGTAGGTCCACTGTTAGCAAAAGTTTACGTGCATTGAGAATGACATAAAAGTAAGGAATTTGAGCGCTGAGTGATTTGACTGAAAGACAAAAAGAGCTTAAAACGACATGTGAAATATTGCTTTCAGGACAATCATTTTTGCATCGAATCGTGACTGCGACCTGTAACAATTATCCTGAACACAAAAGCCCTGAACGACGCCTCGCTAACCACAACCATCAATTCCAAAGTAGAATATCAATTGAATCAAACTTATGCTGTCTATCCGGTGGGACCAGAAGGGTGTGATGTACTATGAGTTACCGAAGCCATATGTCACTGCTGAGTGTTGTCACCAACCATTAGTCGATTCGAGTCGGGGGCTAAACACAAAAATGCCAGAATATGACGGAAGATACTATGAGGTGCCTGCAACGTGATAACGCTAAGGCTCATACTGCACAACAAGTGAATAAGACTTTGGAAGCTCCTCGCACCCAGTCCCACCCGCCACTTTCACCAGACATTGCTCCGTCAGACTCCTTTGCTTCGGTCGATGCGACATGTCCTTGTTGAGCAACGATCTGTTCCCACGAAGAAGCTAAGAATCGGATCGATCAACGGATTGATTTAAAAGTTCAATAACTTCCCTACCACAGAATCTACTTATTACCCGAAAAACGGGAAGAGACTATAGCTACCAATGAACGAGGCTTTGAATAAAATATCTAGTTACTTTTAGAGGGACGTTGTTTTGGGACGTTTTCTTTCGTTAAAAACAGGACGGTCTAATTCCCGTTTCCAATGGTTGTCACATTCCGCCCTGTTTCTCTCGAACTAAGGTAAGAGTCAGGAATTTCCGCAGTCTCTTGAGATAGATTCAGAATACTGCACTGATGTAAGTTGACAGTCCGTCTTCACTTGCGTTTCTGTTGTCTCGACGGCGCTGAATCACTACTCAGGTAGGCGGGACCGGACGCAGTGGCTGCGCGTATCACACGCGAACTGACCCCACACAACACCAGGTTTTCATATTGAGGGTGTGGGCAGCTCAGATCTCATGCGTCAGAGTACCATAAAGGTCACATGAAAAAAGAGTCGAAGAACACACTCCCCACTTACGCGAGAGGTGTCTATTCCTTCTCTCTGGTGAGTCATGTGGGGAGGTTTCATGTGCGGTATATGTGTTGGTGGGAAGATGTGTGCTGATGAATTTCGATCCGTGGTGGTTTACCGCAGATTTCCAGGGAGTCACATGTGACCGAGTAGGCCGATGAGGTAAACGAATGTACGCGTGCAATGCGGACCTTTGAGGCGAGTGTATGTCGAGGCCCCAGGCACTGCTTCGTCGGTCGTAGTGCGATGGGTCCGCAAATGACCGACAAGGCCGATGCGTGGGGGGAAGGTGCGAGCACAATGAGGACAGGTTAATATTGAGTTCTCATTGCCAGTGATGAGAGCTGTCGTGGCGGGGGTATTAGTTGACAAGGCATTGGGAGGATTCTCACCGGCTGGTGGAGTGGAATGGATGGCTGTCGTCTCTGTTGGGTTATGACAGTGATGGCGGAAATGGAAGGCGACCGCGTCAAGACATCCGAGCTCTCCCGCCGGTAGTGGGCGTCCTTATGGACGTCGTGAGCGTTTGTGGCAGGTGATGATGGAGGCCTTTGTTGGTGCATGTTGAATCAGAACTCCCCACTTCCTTAGTGTGAAAACCTGATATGCTGTCTGAGGGGTCGGGCCGCGTGCGCCACTCGCAGACGGATTTTCTGAATCGGTCAGTCAGTGCGCCCAACAACCTCAACAGTTGGCTGGCCGGCTCGTACAGTAGACTGGTACCCGGGAGAAGGAGCAGAGAATGAGATCGACGGTCTCAGCGCATGTACATCACTGGAAACAATCTAACGCGATTTAAACTAACAAGGTTCGCTTACAGCTGTGGCTTGATAGTCTGACAACTTCAGGATAACTCAGTCTTCCTCACAGAACGTAGAGTCAGGTTGCAGCGCCTCTTCCCTTATGTGGCCTCTATGACCCTCCCGCGCAGCTGAGCTCGGAACCACCCCCTTCCCTGTTGCACGGAGACTCGGCCCATTGTACGCAGGCCAGGCATGTGTGGCAGGCACAGACGAACTGTTTGGCTTTTTCAGCCACTGAGCGCGATCCCGCATCTGGTCTTCTGGAGGAAGGAAAGACTGTGGACGATCCAGTGCGAGTCTCCAATCACTATAAACTAGTCAATGCGCAAGTTATCGCCCCCTGCATCCAT